AGTATGGAGATGCCAGGTGTGTGAAGATAGGAGGCTCAGGGAGACCCTAGGTTGGAGGACACTGATGGACTCTGGAAGACAGGAGCCCATGTTGGGGAGGACTTTGGGGGTCCATGATGACGCAGTCTTAGGGGCTATCTTGGAGGGTGTGACCATCTCACCAAGCACAGGCGTGCCGTCTAGAACCTTCTGTGGGAGGGTGGTCATCTGCGAGACAGGCTGCTCTGCTTCCCAAAGGATACTCTCGAGCTCTCCGCGGACAGCAGCCAGGGCTTCAGGATTCTTGAGAAGGAAGAGCAGGAGCCAGAAAGCAGCGGGACCCATATTCCCCTGCAAGGAGAAGGGCCCCTGTTATGTCATTATGAGGGCAGAGCTGACTCGTCTCTGCTAGGGACACGGCCCGGGCCAAGACAGAGGGGCCAGTAGGCCCGGGCTCCCACTGCTGCCAAATGCCCGGGAATGACTAGTGTCTATCTCCAGCCTCAGGACATGGCCAAAACTACTCTGTGGCCCAAAATACCTACTTCAGGGCCACTCATGGCATCCCTGACTGTGTGCAAAGTCACTAATTCTAGGTCACACAGGTAATCTTCATAGCTAATCAGCAAAACAGTGTCAGTAATAGGAACAGCGTGTATCAGTTAAGACTGTTCACATCTGAGAATAATCACATTGTTGGCCCCAGTTCTTCACCAATCCCAGAATCCCCGCTCCTTACCATGTGACTTTGCCGTTCCTCCATTCAAGGGCCAGAGTGTATTTCCCTGTCCTTTGAATTTATGCTCAGCCGTGGACTTGCTTTGGCCAATAGAATGAGGTGCAATTGAAGGAACAGCCACTCTACGCCTAAGCCGCGAGAAACTTTGTGTTTCCACTTGCCTGACAAGCCCACTGATCCCAAGAGAAGGATGAGAGACTCATGGACAGAGCTGAGCTGCCCCACTGAGCCAGACCCACAGTCCCGTGAGTTAAATAAATGCTGATGGGTGTATGCCACCGAGTGGCTGTGGATGTTTGTTAGGCAACAATAGCTAACTGGTGCGATATCTAAAGATTTGCTTCCAAATATAATCATTCTCGACGTGGTCTGGGATGCAAAAAGTTCTCTGTATGCTTTGTATCTTAAAATTCTTTCAGTCACTTGAAGAATAAATGTGTGTGTGTTGTGTACATATAAAACAAAGTCGCAATCATCATTGATGACTGAAAGCTATGAATAAAAATTATTTAAACTTTCCAATAGATAAACACTTAGGAAAATGAGTGGAATTTCTTGCTTCAAGGCTTCAGTCTTAGCTGAACATTTTCATACACATTTTAGCTTCAGCTCTTTGGTATGTGGCTAAAATGTGTATATGGCACCCTTTAGTGATCCAGACATGGGTAGAATACCAACTAATCTCAATTTGGGGGAAGGTTTTTGTCTGCCATGACTATCCTATTCAATCATAATAATGGAATATTAAATCATCATTACATATCATGTTTACCCAGTAATTTCATTACAGACATAATTACACATGGGCAAAAGAACATATGCACAAAGATAATTATTGCAGTGCTAATGTAATAGAAAAAAGCTGGAAACAACCTCCATGTCTATCAATAGGAGATCAATGAGATAAATGAAGATCCATCCATTGGATGATGATGCAGGAAGTCATTAAAAAGAAGCCAGCTCTGTGTGTACTGATGTGGGACTGTAGCCAAGACACACAGAAGCATGCAAACAGCAAGGTGCAGGGTGGTGGCTCAGCATGCTGCCATTTGTGTGTTTGTTTAAAGAGAAATATACATGAAGAAGCACAGGCCATCCCTTTTTTTGAGACAGGGTCTTGCTCTGTCACCCAGGCTGGAATGCAGTGACACAATCATAGCTCACTGCAGCCTTGACCTCTTGGCTCAAGTGATCCTCCTGCCTTAGCCTCTCAAGGAGCTGGGGCCACAGGCACATGCTACCCAGCTAGGTTTTGTTGTTGTTGTTGTTGTTGTTGTTGTTGTTGTTGTTGTTTTGGTAGAGATGGAGGTCTCCCTGTGTTTCCCAGGCTGATCTCAAACTCCTGACCTCGAGCAGTCCTCCTGCCACAGCCTCCCAAAGAAGCATAGACCATTGCTAAGAGACACCAGAAACTGGTAACTGAGGTTACCTTGGGACAGAAGCTGGGAAGACAAGAGGATAGGGAGGAAGGAGGCTGACTTTCCTTGCAAATACCCTTTTAAACTGTTCAAAATTTTTTAATGGACACACTAATTTTAAGTGAAACAGAAGGCACCCAGGCTGGAGTGCAGTGGCGTGATCGTGGCTCACTGCAACCTCCACCTCCTGGGCTCAAGTGATCCTCCTACCTCAGCCTCCCAAGTAGCTGATACAAGCATGCACCACCATGCCCGGCTAATCTTTCTATTTTTTGTAAAGATGAGGTCTCACTATGTTTCTCAGGCTGTATTCAAATGATTTCTATAGTGATGTACAATGTCATGAGAAATGCTCATGTTACAGTATTAAACCAAATAGAAGGTTAGATTAAAACAGCTGCATGATCTTAACCACAGAAGAAAAATGTACGGGGAAAAGCTGGAAAGAAATGCACCATAGCATCAATGATGGTGAGATGAATTGTGCCTTCCTCTTTAGTGCCCATGAGGCCATGAGGCCAGGAGGCACCACACTCCTCTGCTCAATACTTACATCATGCAGGTGCCATTATTAGGCCTTTTACTGAAAAGGAAAACGAAGTACTCCCTGGTTGCTACCCACTGCCCAGCATATAGTGGAGGCTCACTGATATTTGTCAAATAAACATCTGTGTACCTTTGGATCAGAGGTGGAGCTCCAAGACAGCCTGGGAGGTGGACTGGAAGATCCCTGGACTGAGACCAGGCAGAGGTGGGTTCAAATCCCAGCTCCCCACTTTCTGTGACTGTGGACAAGTCATGTCCCCTTTTGGGTCTCAACACTGGGGGTAACATTGCCACCTCCTGGGTGGTCGCAAGGGTCCAGTGAGGCTGAATGCAAGCAATCCCACACGTGTTGTGCCCAGAGTAGGTGCTCAGAAGTGGTTACCCCTCCCCAACTGGCCCCTCCCCTGGATTTGAGAACAAGTCAGTGGGGGCCTCAGGCCCTTTCTGAGAGTTCTGCCAGCACCTCAGGTCCAGCTGACACAGCGAGGTCACTTGCTGTCCATCACTTAAATAGCCAGGCGAATGTGGGTGATAAATAATTCAGCACTGGCTTAGCTCAGCGCCAAGGCCATTTTATCTGGCCCAGATGGTCAGATGGGGGCCACCGCTCATTAATTACCAAGCAGGAGTGGAACACATGGGCCCTTGGCTATCTCTGCTTGCAGGAAAAAGCTGTGGCAAGTTAGGGAGGTGACCAAGACTGCCTTCTACCCAACTGCACAGATGTGAGTGTGAGTGTGTGTGTGTGTGTGTGTGTGTGTGTGTGTGCACGCAACCATAAGAGATCCTGAATTTGCCACCCTGGAATTTGAGCTTTCACCCATGGAGACTTGCCTCTGTTTACTCAGGAAGACACTTCTCATTTGTCCTCATTCCCTCCTACTGCAGCCAAAGGCCATGACCCAGCAGTGCCACCCCCTGTTCTAGCTTTCCTGTGAATGGCGGCGGCAGACCTCTGGGGGGCACTGACTGCGGGCCAGACCACACCTTTGGCGATTCACATGCTCCTTCTTGTCGCCTCCTGACCACATGGCCCATCAGTGGGAGTAGGGGACTCCCACTGCCCGTGCCTGCCTGCATCCACTTCCTTGTCTGTGGGTAACAGCACGCCACTTTCCTTCGTAAAACCACCTCCTCTTAAATCTAAGTCTGTGTAGGTCATCCAGGACTGACTCATCCTTCCAGACTTCAAGTGTGGGCATGGGACCCAGGCAGAGGTCCCATGAGTGATCCACGCAGAGGGGAGCATGTGACGTGGGCTGGGCCAGTGAGTATCAGGCTTGGGAGCTGTGCTAGAATTTAAGGGAAGGGAACCCTCCTCCATGGGATTGCTAAATTGCATGGAGCTGCTGGAGGCCATTGTAGCCACCCCCCAGGAGACCCTCTGAGGATGCAGCTCGGCAGAAGGGAGACCTGAGGGATGGGAGTCACTCTTTTATTCTTTTAATTTTTGTGATTTAAAAGATTCCAACGGAATAAAAGAATACCCCAAGTGTGATAATGATGTGTTAGTGTAGGTCATAAATTGTAACAAATGTGCCACTCTGCTGAGGGACACTGGTGATGGAGAGGCGAGACACTGGGAGAAGGCGGCTAAGGGGGGGTCCCTGCACCTTTCCTTCAATTTTGCTGTGAACCTAAACCTGCTTTAAAAATAGAGTCTATTTAAAACAAACAAACAAAAGCCCTACGTGCAATGTGGGATTGTGGATTGGCTCCTGGAAGAGAAAAAGCATATTAGTAGAAAAACTGGGGCAACGTGAATGAAGTATGGAGTTTAGTTACTAGCAATGTCCCAGTGCTAATTTCTTAGCACTTGATGAATGTATTGTAGTTATGTAACATTAGGGAAAGCTGGGTGAAGGGTATTTGGGAACTCCCTGTACTATCTTTGCAACTCTTTTATAATCTAAAATTATTTCAAGATAAAACTACTGAAGACAAACAAAAACAAAAACAAACCCAACCCTCTTTACAGATGGTGAAACTGAAGCCCAGAAAAGTGACTTGTTTGAGGTCACACAACTAGTTTAGTGGCAGAGCTGATACTCCACCCAAGTCTGTCTGACTCTCAATACTGTGGTTTTGCTTTTCACCCCGTTGTCAAATGCTTCACGGATTCTTCTCGATGATTACTATCTCAGCGGAGCTATCTGCAGGCCCAGCAGCTCCCGTGGCCCCCTCCCCTACCTCTCAGGACCACCTAGGAGTTTCCAGGGATGTGTGGCTGTGGCTGCTGAGGATGTGATGGGGTGAAGGCCAAGCCAGATATGAGGAAGGAAGAGAAGGATCAGATGTGATGGATGGGGCTGAGGGACATCATGACAATCAATGGTTTCAGTCCTGGCATTGCCAGCATCAGTGGGCTCAGAGCTGGGAGGGAAACCTGTCCTGTGTTTGCAAACTCTCCTCCATCTGCCCCCCACCACCCCACCCCACCTTCCCTTACAGCCTCCTCTTCCCCCTGGCTGGACCTTAGGTCTCGGCCCACAGGGTCCTCCCTGGATGCCCGAGCCTCCCACTGCCCCTTCCATCACTCTCGATTCCAGGTTCAGGGGTGCTGGATTCATGAAGCTGTTGTGAGGATCCTATAAGATGATGTTTGCAAAGTGCTCAAGAGGATGCTTGGCCCAGGGTAAGTGCTCAGTATCTTTTGCGATTATTATTCCTGACTCATCATCTCCGACCTGACAGCAGCAATCACAGCTACCATTTTTCAGCCTCTCCGCAGCATCTGACCCAGCTTCCCATTACTGGCTCTTCCCCCACCTTCCTGGCCCCTCCTCCTTACCTTTCCCACCACTGGAGAGCCCCAGGGACGCCCCCTTCTTCACCCATCCTTGCCCGCAGTATCTCTTCCAGTCCTGAGGCTTTAAACTCTGTGCTGACAGCTCCCAAGCCTGGACCTCAAACTTGAACTCCAGACTGTCTTCTCCAGGTGTCCACTCTCCCACCTCCATCTCAAATTCAACATACCCAAAGCCAAACCCCCAATCTTCTCCCTGAGACTTCCTCCTCCCGCCATCTTCCTCATCTGCCCATGGCTCTGCCACCCCTCCTGTCACTCAGGCCCAAGCCTGGAGTCATCCTTGATGGCCTCCCCCAAGGTCCCATCCAACAGTGGATCCTGTTGGCTTTACTGTGGAATATGTTCAGACTCTAACCACCCCCGACCCTGGCTCAGCAGCACCCTGTCTTGCCTGGATCCTGCAATGGCCTCCCCCCTGCTCTTCCTGCCTCTGCTTCCCCACCCCCTACAGTGTCTTGTCAGCGCTGCAGCCAGAATGATCCCTCTAATGCATTAAGACAGGCCAGGATTTTCCTCTGCTCAGAGCCCTCAGCAGGCACCTGTCTCACTCAAAGTAAAAGCCAAAGCCCTCCCCATGGCCTACAGGGACCTGTGTGGTCCTGCAGCTCTGCCTCCCCACCATGTCACCCTCAGTCCTGCCTCAGGGCCTTTGTACTTGCTGCTCCCTGCCCGGGAGCCTTCACTCTATATATTTACATGGTTCACCCCTCACTTCCTTCAGTCTCTGCTCAGATGTCACCTTTCAGCTAGGCCTTCCTGTGCCTGCCTTCCTGCTGTATCTCTTCTCCATAGAACACATTCCCTCTAAAACTTTTTTTTTTAATTTGAGACAGAGTTTTTTTTTCTGGAGACGGAGTCTCTCTCGTCGCCCAGGCTGGAGTGCAGTGGCGCGATCTCGGCTCACTGCAACCTCTACCTCCTGGGTTCAAGTGATTCTCATGCCTCAGTCTCCCAAGTAGCTGGGATTACGGGCCTGTGCCACCATGCCTGACTAATTTTTGTATTTTTAGTAGAGTCAGGGTTTCACCATATTGGCCAGGCTGGTCTCAAACTCCTGATCTCAAGTGATCTGCCTGCCTCGGCCTCTCAAAGTGTTGAGATTACAGGAGTGAGCCACTGCGTCTGGCCTCTAATACATTTTAGATGCTTACTTGTTTGCTTGTTTATTTATTTATTTATTTTTTAGACAGGATCTTACTATGTCACCCACGATGGAGTGCAGTGGCACAATCATGGCTCATTTTAGCCTTGACCTCCTAGGTTCAAGCAATGCTCCTGCCTCAGCCTCCCAAGTAGCTGGGACTACAACTGTGCACCACCCTGCCCAGCTTTTCTACAAAAAAATAAGATTTTTTTTTTTAGAGATGGGGTCTTGCTATGTTATCCAGACTGGTCTTGAACTCTGGGCCTCAAACGATGTTCCTGTCTAACCTCCCAAAGCACTGTGATTACAGCTTATGTGTTTATTAATTGTCTATCTTCTCCCACCAGAATGCCAGCTCCCTAAAGGTAGGGATTTTTGTCTGTTTTGCTCTCTGCTCTATGCCCAGCTTCTGGAATGGGGCCTGGTCCACGGCAGGCACTCTAAATATTTGCTGAAGATGTTTATTGAGCACTTGTTATCCGCAAGTCACAGTTACAAAGTTGCACATGTATTCCTGCCTCCTTTCATCTTCATAACCACATCTTTTTTTTTTTTTTTTTTTGAGACGGAGTCTCGCTGTGCTCCCAGGCTGGAGTGCAGTGGCGTGATCTCGGCTCACTGCAAGCTCCGCCTCCCGGGTTCACGCCATTCTCCCGCCTCAGCCTCCCAAGTAGCTGAGACTACAGGCCACATCTTAAAGCGAGTGCTACCATCTCCATTTTACAGATGAGTCAACTGAGGTGCTCAGAGGTTAAGTGACTGACTTGCCAGGAAGTGTCAAAGTCAGGATTCAAATCCAGGCAGGGAGGTCACAGAGCCTGTGCCAGAAACTTCTAGACCAAGTACCTTCTTGGCTCTGCCCCCAAAAGGCTCTTGAAAAGTTTTCCCACCTGCTTGAATTCTGGACGCTGTCAACGACTCAACCTCAGAGGACATCTTGTCCCCAGCTCCTGCCCAGCTCTCCTGGCCCTGCCAAAGGCTGTTCCCTGGACTTTCTGCCACTCAAGTCCCTCGGCCAGCATCCAGTTTTGCTGACACAGGTCATTTCCACAAGGGTTCTGGGGACACTTTGGAGCTCCAAGTCATCTCTGCACATAAATATGTTATTAGGCACTGATGTGGGGGACAACTGCCAATTAATCCCAGCCCCCACCCCTTGCCAGTCTCTGCCTGCAAGGACAGTTAATGGCTCTGAGAGGAAACTAAAAATAAGCCGCAAGTCGATGGGAGAGGAATTACCCAGAAATGTCAGCCTGTACAACTGTCACTGTCAAAGTGGGGCCAAGAGAAAGATGGGGGGCTTGGGGAACAGGAAAGAGGACAGGATCCAGGCCTGGAGCCCTGCAGCATCAAAGGCCACCCTGTTTCTCTCACTCCAATAGCTGGTCCATGACCAAATCCACTGGCTCTGTCTTCCTGAAATTTCCAAAATCTATCCATGTCCTCATCACCTCCATGGCCACCACCTGACCCTGCCACCACCGTTTCCTCCTTGGTGCCCTGTTTTTGCTTTTGCCCCCAAGATCCTGTCCCTCCTCTGCTCAGAACTCTCCTAGGTCCCCATCTCACCCAAAAAAAAAAAAAACATCCCAAGTCCTCACTTATGAGGACCCACAAGGCCCTCAGTGACCTCTTCCCTCAGTCTCTTGCCCCCTTCCTCACTCTGCTTCAGCTGTGTGATCCAACTGTACTCCGCATGATCCAACCCCAGGGCCTTTGCACTTGCTATTTCCATTATTGGAAGCTTCTATCCCCACATCTTCTCCAAGTTTCTGAATCTAGCTTTCTTATCATCCAGGGCTCAGCTCGAATATCTCAGGGAGGCCTCCCTGACCACCCCGGCTAGAGCAGACCTGTTTCTTTCTATTCACAGCCCTGTTTCATACTCTAAATATCATCATCTAAAATCACCTTGTATATGTTTCCTTGACTCTCTGCTCCCTGTCCCCCTGACCCCCCAAGTGGTAATCAACACAACACAGAATCTTTGAGGTCTATGGTAAGTACTCAGTGGATTTTTTTTTAAGAGGTGGGATCTCACTATGTTGCCCAGGCTCGTCTCGAACTCCTGGGTCCAAGCGATCCTCTTGCCTCACCCTTCCGAGTAGCTGGGATTACAGGTGCATACTACCATGCCCAGCTTCTTAATGGAACTTCTAAAAAATTCTTCAAAATAACTGGTCTGCACACTTCAAAAAATGTAAAGGTCATGAGAAACAATGAAATGCACAGAAAATGTGACAGATTAAAGAAAACAGGTCAGGTGCAGTGGCTCACACCTGTAATCCCAGCACTTTGGGAGGCTGAGGCTGAGGCTGAGGCGGGCGGATCACGAGGTCAAGAGATCGAGACCATCCTGCCAACACGGTGAAACCCCATCTCTACTAAAAATACAAAAAAATTAGCTGAACGTGGTGCATGGTGGCACGAGCCTATAGTCCCAGCTATTCAGGAGGCTGAGGCAGGAGAATCGCGTGAACTCAGGAGGCGGAGGTTGCAGTGAGATGAGATCGTGCCACTGCACTCCAGCCTGGCAACAGAGTGAGACTCCATCTCCAGAAAAAAAAAAAAGAAAACTGAAGAGTCAGAATGACTAAATGCAACATGTGATTCTGGATTGGATGCTGGACCAAGATGAACCAAAAAGGACATTATTGAGACAACTGGCCAAACTGGAATACAGACTGTTTATTAGATAATGATCATGTATCTGGGCTCATTATCCTGAAATTGGTTATTGTGCTGTGGTCATGCAGGGGATGTTCTTGCTTACACTCAAGCAATTAGGGATAAAAAACCATGATATCTGCAACTTATTCACAAATTATTTCAATAAAATAATCCCACTGGGGAAAAGAGAGCGTAAGAGAGACAGAGACAGAGAGAAAGCAAAGGTGGTAAAATGTTTAAAATTGGGGAATCAAGGTGAAGCATATATAAGAGTTCATCAAACTATTAAACCTTTTTATAAATTTAACATTTTTCCAAATTAAAACAAAACAAAACAAAACAAAAAGAGGCTGGGCGTGGTGGCACACACCTGTAATCGCAGCACTTCCAGAGGCTGAGGCAGGCAGATCACTTGAGGTCAAGAGTTTGAGACTAGCCTGGCCAACATAGTGAAACCCCATTTCTACTAAAAATACAAAAATTAGCCAGGCGTGGTGGCAGGCAACGGTAGTCCCAGCTACTCGGGAGGCTGAGGCATGAGAATCACTTGAACCCGGGAGATGGAGGTTGCAGTGAGCTGAGATCGAGCCACTGCACTCCAACCTGGACAACCAAGCGAGACTCTGTCTCAAAAGAAAAAAAAGAAAAGAATACTGAGTGAATTATTCTGTTCATCATGCTGTTTGACAGTAAAGGACGTCAGGGAACGGGGGTGGGCATGGGTATGTGTGCACACACCCACACTGACATCAGCACACACTCACAAATGCACACCTACCTACACATGCACACACAGGTATAGTCATGTGCACCTGAATACGTGCACAGACATGCACACCCCCATGCACACATACACATTCATATCACAACCACACATACACACCTGCACACACCCACTTGCACACTCACACCCACCTGTGTGGCCCACAGCTGCAGCACCAGGGCCCGTGCCTGCATCTCCTCTGACACACCCATCTCCTCCAAGTGCAGCAGGTAACTCTCCAGCCATTTGCTCCTGTGGGCCCGTGTGGCCAGCCTGGCTGGGGACAGCAGCTTCCACAGGCGACTTTTGACACTGCACATGTGGTCCTTGTCCCCTGCAGGGACAGAGCACAGAGAGTAGGGGTTAGAGATTCACCACCACACCCAGGGCTGACCGAGCATGACCTCCCATGAGGCCAAGGGACTTCTGAATGTCACTCATTGAGGGTGGGGAGTTCCTGTGGGAAAGAAGCTGTAGGGACAGGCCCACAGCGGGAAGCTCTTTCAATACTGACTTGCTTATTATCTGTCTTACACCCAGTAAAAAGAAGCAAGGGGTCTTGTCTCTTGCAGGTGGGATCCCAGTCTATTTCAATCACCTCTATGTCCCCAGCACCCAGCCCGTAGTAGGTGTTCAATAAATATGCATTGTATTAGTCTGTTTTCATGCTGCTGACAAAGACATACTCAAGACTGGGTAATTTTTTTTTATAAAAAAAAAAAAAAAGAGGTTTAATGGACTCACAATTCCATGTGGCTGGGGAGGCCTCATAACCATGGTGGAAGGTGAAAGGAACATCTTACATGGCGGCAAGCAAGAGAAAACGAAAGCCAAGCAAAAGGAGAAACCACTTATAAAATCATCAGATTTCGTGAGACTTATTCACTACAAGGAGAACAGTATGGGGGAAACCACCCCCCATGATTCAATTATCTCCCACCAGGTCCCTCCCACAACATGTGGGAATTATGAGAACTACAGTTCAAGATGAGATTTGGGTGGGGACACAGCCAAACCATATTATGCATTAAATAAATGGCATTTCTTTCCAGAGCAGGAGAAGGAACACTGAACACCGAACAGCATTCTCCCTCCCCAGGTCCAACCCCAGAGCAGTGCCAGCCCATGTGCATGAGGAGGAGGCCACTGTGAGCAGGCTCAGCACAGCAGCGATTACAGAAAGACATCAGCAACAACCTAACTGACCATCCAGAGAGGGCAGATTGGGCTGGAGTCTCAAACTCAACTCACTCCAGAGAAGGCAGGCCAAGTAAAAGAGAGAGGAGGCCAGAAAGGGACCATGGCACTTAGCCCACCGACCAGCACTCGGCAGGAGAGAGAAACACCCCAGCATGGTCAGAGGGCCTGTGCTTTCAAAGGAAGCTGAAAATTCAGACAATTATGTATACACCGTCTGATATTTTTTAAGGTTAGCATCCAAGTAAAAAGTTTTTAATCACTGTGCTGACCACAGAAGCATCTCTGAAGGTCAACTTTGGCCCACAGATCACCAGCGTGCAATCACCATTAAACAGACAATGGTGTGTTTATGTTCTGGAAAAACCATACAGCAGTGAAAGTGAATTAGTACATTTTACATACAGACACAGAGAGTTCCAAAGGGCAGACTGGTAAGAGGATAAAGCCGGGCACTGAAGAATGATACTATTTAGATATTGTTTTCTTTTCTCCTTCCTTTTAAAAAAAATATTTTCATGAACCATACATGAGACTTAATATATATTGTTTTAAAGCTCCAAGGTAATGCTATTTATATGCACAGATATAAAGTTTAAAACAAAAATATAAAATATAAGATTTGGTATTCTCTGAAATCACCCCTTGGAAAACAGAGTCACCTTGGATTGCTCTGAAGTTTCAAAGTATTGGAAACTCCCTCACTGACTCTTCTGAACCACAAGCCATGTTTCAGGAAGACTCGCCCCAGCACTGATTCTAAACCTGGCTGCACATCACAGGGCGTTTGAAAGGGTCAGAAATGTAGCCTATGGTTTTTTTTTTTTTTTTTTTTAAGTATTTTGGCTTCATTTTCAAATAATATGCTGAATATGTTTAACTTTTAGACTTCAACTTGAGCTCATTGTTTTACATTGAAATGAATGTCACCATTTCAGGTGACATTTCAATGTAAAGCAATGAGCTTACATGTTCAACTGAAATACATTATCTTCCTATGTGTCTCAACTTTTCAGGCTCTCTGGAGAATTACCTGGGAGCTCTTCAATCTCTGGATGCCCAGGTGCCAACCCCAGATTGATCATGTCAAAATCATGTGGGTGGGAACTGGGCGTCCAGGGGTTTAGGGCTGCAGGGCACGGGCGTGTTAAAACCACCTCAGTTGATGCAAACTCTGAATACTTCTAAGCATCATCTGATGGGATGGCTAAAAAAAGAGGCAAAGAAATTTAACACAGCTTTAGAAATAACTGGCATTCTTTGAAGTCTGACCACACGACTGCAATCTTGAATATCACTGTAAACACGGCGTTTACAGATGACTTTAAAAAGTAAGGCAGGACCATTCTCTACTTTTCCCCTGTGCCTAGAGCAGTTCTGAGTACATAGGAGGCACTCAATATTTGCACAATAAATGAATAATTAAGCAAAAAAGCTAACGCAGTATGAAAAGACAGCTGACAGAATGTGAGAAAATATTTGCAAATAATATATCTGATAAGGGTCTAGCACCCAAAATATATAAAAGAACTCCTACAACTCAACAACAATAAAAAACAAACAACCTGTTTCAAAAATTGACAAAGGACTTGAATAGATATTTCTCCAAAGAAGAGCTACAAATGGCTGACAAACACATGAAAAGATGCTCAACACCATTAGTCATTAGAAAAATGCATATCAAAACCGCTGTGTGATACCATTCACAACCATGAGAATGACTACTATTTAAAACACAGAAAATAAGGGATGGTGAGGATGTGGAGAAATTGAAACCCTTATGCATTGCTGGTGGGAATGTAAAATACTGCAGTTGCTATGAAAAAGAGTTTAGCAGTTCCTCAGAAAGTTAAAGAATTACCATATGATCCAGTAATTCTAGTTCCAGGTATATACCCCAAAGAACTGAAACCAGAGACTCAAACAGATACTTGTGCACCAATGTTCGTAGCAGCATTATTCACAGTAGCCAAAAGGCGGAAACAACCCAGGTGTTGGTTGATAGGTGACTGGATAAATAGAATGCAGTATATACACACAATGTATTCAGTCTTTAAAAGGCATGAAATTCTGACACATATGCCAGGCGTGTTGGCTCATGCCTGTAATCCTAGCACCTTGGGAGGCCAAGGCGGGCAGATTTCCTGAGCTCAAGAGTTAGAGACCAGCCTGGGCAACATGGTGAAACTCTGGCTCTACTAAAATAAAAAAAAAAAAAAAAAAAAAATTAGCCAGGCGTGGTGGCATGTACCTGTAATCCCAGCTACTCAGGAAACTGAGGCATGAGAATAGCTTGAACCCGGGAGGTGGAGATTGTAGTGAGCAACACTGCACTCCAGCCTGAGAGCAAGACTCTGTCTCCAAAAAAAAAAAAAAAAAAAGAAATAGATATTCTGACACATACTACAACATGGATGAACCTTTAAAATATTATGCTAAGTGAAATAAGCCAGACACAAAAGGACAAATATTGTATAATGCCACTTACATGAGATTCCTAGAACAGGAAATTCAGAGACAGAAAGTAGAATAGAAGATATATCGGGCCGGGAGGAAAGGCAGGTGGAGAATTTTGTTTAATGGGCATAAAGCTTTTGTTTAGAATAATGGAAAGTTTCTGGAAATAGATAATGGCATGGTTATACAACATTGTGAATGTATTTACTGCCACTGAATTGTACAATTACAATGGTTAAAATAGTATATTTTATGTTATATATTATTTTAGCACAGTTTTTTTTTAAAAGGTATATGAAGGTCATTTGGCAAAAATGAGTCAAAGATAGTGTTGTATAACAAAGAATTTGGATTCCAGCCGGGCGCGGTGGCTCACGCCTGTAATCCCAATACTTTGGGAGGCCAAGGTGGGCAGATCACCTGAGGTCAGGAGTTTGAAGCCAGCCTGGCCAACATGGTGAAACCCCATCTCTACTAAAAATACAAAAAAAGTTAGCTGGGCGTGGTGGCGGGCAACTGTAATCCCAGTTACTCGGGAGGCTGAGGCAGGAGAATCACTTGAACCTGGGAGGTGGAGGTTGCAGTGAGCTGAGATAGAGCCACTGCACACCAGCCTGGGTGACAAAGTGATACTCAAAATACAAAAGAATTTGAATTCCAAGGTTTCAGTTACCCATGGTCAACGATGGTCCAAAAATACTAAATGAAAAATTCTGGACATAAACAGTCATAGGTTTTAAATTACATGCTGTTCTGAGTAGTGTGTTGAAATCTTGTGCCATCCTGCTCTGTCCTGCCCGGCAAAAAACACAGGATAAAAATATAGCAGTGAGCTGGGTGCAGTGGCTCACTCCTATAATCCCAGCACTTTGGGAGGCCAAGACGGGCAGATCACCTGAGGTCAGGAGTTCAAGACCAGCCTGGCCAACATGGCGAAACCCCATCTCTAACAAAAAAACAAAAATACAAAAATTAGCCAGGCATGGTGGCGCGCACCTGTAGTCCCAGCTACTCAGGAGGCTGGGGCAGGAGAATCACTTGAACCCAGGAAGGGGAGGCTGCAGTGAGCAGAGATTGCACCACTGCACTCCAGCCTGGACAATAGAGCAAGATTCTGTCTCAAAAACAAAATTATATATATATATAGCAGTGATTGGATCACGAATCAAATCAGTTTACACTTATATATCCCTTAGAGCAGTGCAGAGGACACACTAAACCTTACCCGAGAGTTATCTATTGCTATGATATGTTGTTAGCACAAAGCAAAGTGCCAGCAACCACATGTTTATTATGCATTTGTGGAAAAAAAGAAAAATAAGAATATAGTCACATTCACTTGCACTTGTCTGAAGGAACTCTAGAAGGATCCATTCGAAACTAATAAAACGAATCGATTATGAGCAGTGGCAATTGGTGGAAGGGGATGTGACAAGAAAAGGAAGGAGACTTACCACTGTTACTAATTTTTTTCCAGCCTTACTGAGGTATAATTGACAAATGAAAATTCTTATTTAAGTTGTACAACGTGATGTTTTGATACACATATACAGTGTGAAATGATTGCCACAATCAAGCTAATTAGCATATCCATCACCTCACGTGTGCATGCACGGTGAGAACACTTAAGATCCACTCTCTTAGCAAATTTCAAGTATACAATACATTGTTACTAACTACCATCACCG